GTGTGTGGCCGGAGTCCGGGCTCCCTCCTGGCCAGGCAGGACGGCTCAGCCCTTCCGAGGGGTGGAGCTGGGCAGTTTGGGGAACAGGGCCCCTTCTCACACTGACCTGGGCATGCTGAGGCTCAGCTGCCTTGGGGACAATGTGAGAGAGGGGTCTTCTCCCCTTGGGGGAGGGTTCCTCCCCAACCCGGCTGGCGGGTAGTGAGCTGCAGGGCCAAGGAGGGGCTTGGTCCTCTAGGCTTCTGATAAACACAGCTTTGCTCCCTGCACTCCTCGGAAGTCAGCCACTGCTCTGAACGGGAGCTGCGGCTGGGGGTCTCCTGGCAGCCCAGCACCCGGGCAGGACCCAACCAGGAGCCTGTGTGGCGCTCCCAGCAGTGGGCCCTTGGCCGCACGGCTGCCCTGCCCAGCCATGCCTGCTGCTCTCCATTTGAGTGAGTGTGGATTAAGACAGCAGGCAGTCACAGGGCAGTCTACATTAATCTGGGAAAATGAAAATTGTGGAGATTTGCCCCAGGCTCGGGTCCTCCTGGACATCAGGGCCCCTCCCACGGAGGCACTCAGGGAGCCCTGTCTCTGTCTGTTCCCCAGGAGTCCCATACCCAGTGGGAATCAGAAACAATCCCCTCCCCTCCACAGGCCCAAGCAAGCGACAGGCGGCACCATTCCATGGGTGCCCTGGCCAACAGGCCGTGTACAGATCTCCGTCACCGCGGCCGCCTCACGCACAGGCTGCGGTTCCACAGGCCTCTATGCCGCATGGGGCCAGCTCTGCGTCCTGCTGTCAGAGACAGCTGGCTGCAGGTCCCCACTGGGCTGGGTGTGGGCACCTGGGGCCTTTCTATAGTAACATGTCACCCTGACTCTGGGTGGGACCCACACTTCTCCCTTATTTTTTTAAAGACTTATTTACTTTTATTGGAAAGTCAGATTTACAGAGAGAAGGAGAGACAGAAAGACCTTCAGTCTGCTGGTTCGCTAGTTCACTCCCCAAGCTGCTGCAGTGGCCAGAGCTGAGCTGAGCCGAAGCCAGGAGCTTCTTCTGGGTCTCCCAAGGCCCCGGGTCGTCCTCCACTGCTTCCAGGCCACAAGCAGGGAGCTGGATGGTAAGTGGAGCAGCCAGGGCACGAATCGGTGCCTACATGGGATCCTGGCACGTGCAAGGCGAGGACTTTAGCCACTAGGTTACCATGCGGGGCCCCATGCTTTTCTCCTCCTAGCTTTAGCTCTGCTCTGTTTTGTCTGTTTGAAAGAATTGGAGAGAGGTCTTGTACTTACTGGTTCACTACCCAAATGGCCATGACAGGAACCGGAAACTCCGCCTGGTGGCCCCACCCCGGGTGTGGGCCCAGCACTGGGCCGTCCTTTGCCGTGCTCCCAGGTCCTTCCGGGGAGCTGGATGGGATCTGCCCAGCAGGTCCTGGTTGCAGCAGCTCTCCGTCCTCAGGCTGGGGCAGGACTAAGTCCTGCAGGGTGGGCTCTACTGAGCTCGGCCGTGGTGGAAGGGGCTGAGCTTCCGCAGGCATCCTTTCCCCTCACAGGCCTGGTACCAGGTGGCAGCATTGGCTTGCCTTTTTTTTTTTTAAATGTAATTAGCTTGTTTATTTAGATGGCAGAGAAAGAGAGAATGCTTTTCCATCTGCTGGTTCACTCTCCAAATGGCTGCAACAGCCAGGCTGGAGCGCCGCCCAGGTCCCCCCATCTCCAGCTGGGCAGGGCCCAAGCCTTGGGCGGGGAGCTGGAGGGGAGCAGCGCTCCTGTGGGCCGGTCTGGTCAGCTTTGGGATCTCTCGCTGTAGGAGGAACGTCTTGTAGAAATCTTGGCAGTGAGCTGTGCTGTGCAGGCGCCCTGGCTGCCAGCAGTGAGGGGCAGCAGCACCCTGCTCCCAGGTGCGTCCCCTGGGCCTGCGACTTCAGACAGAGCACCCAGAGGGTGGGCACACACAGGAGCCTCGTGGGCTCTGGAGGGGTCGTGACTGTGCCCACCCCCTGGGGGACCTGTGGCGGGTTACACTGGGTGGGGGGTGCATGGCTGTGGTTCTGGCGCAGAAGGCAGGAGGCCTGTGAGGCCAGGAGGAACTGTGAGCTTGGGGACGTTGCAGGGGACACTTCATGGCTGTCACAGGGAAAACTTGTGAGAAAATGCCCTGGCCTGCAGAGGCCTTGCCAGTCCTTAATGGCATGGGTGCCACTGGGGCCGCGGGCAGTGCTTGCATGGTTCTGCAGACACTGGCCAGCAGAGGGCTGCTTCCAGGTGTGCCCCACAGGCCCTCCCCATACAGGTGTCCTCCCTATGGCAGCTCGGCCCTCCACAGAACCTGCACCACTGATGGCCAGGGAGGCAGTGCCGGGATCTGCCCAGGGTCCCCAGGCCAGGGAGGCGATTGTTACAGGAATGATTTGATGCCTCACAGACGAGGAAATCCTCTTCACAAATGGGATCCCCAAGGCGATCAGACTAGAACCGTATCAAAAACAAAATCACTTTTCCAAATTGCAGGATTACTGATTAGAGGCCTGCAGGGAAGCCAGGTGGGCTTCTGAGGTCAGAAGGGTGTGTACCCCTGCAGGGTGGAATACACTTCCCCAGGGATTCGCCAACACCTAGGGTCCTGGGAGAAAAAGTCCCGCCTTCTGGGGCAGGTTAAAGACACAGAATCATGGGGCACCCTGCAAACGTAAGCCCTAGCAGCAGCACCAGGCAGACCCCTCACCCAGCGCCCTCTGCCCCCTCAGCAGCACGGACGGGGCTGCCCTACAGGCATACTGACCTCCTGCTGCTGTAAGAAGGGGGTGCAGCAACCCCAGACTTCTGTTCTTCGCCCTGCAGTAGCCAGTAGATGGGGCCCTGGTCTCTTAGCCTGGCAGGCAGGGGCTCCTGGGGACCACCGGCCCCTTCCCAGAGGGACGGGGGGTGGGGGAAAACGCAGCAGCCCTGGCTGGCAGCTCTGGCGGGCCCCGCTCGGGCTGCCCCAGGATTCCCCTCACAGTGGCCGATGGCTCCAAGGAAGATGCCCAGGCACCCAAGACTTGCTGTCTGGGCTGTGGCTGCCCGGCAGTAGCCAGGAGACTTCAGACACAGCAGCCCAAATAGAGACGGGCATGAGCAGCGACTCAAGGCTCAGGGTGCAGACACCGCTGATGCTGGGCCAAGCGACTCAAGGCTCAGGGTGCAGATGCCACCGATGCTGGGCCAAGCGCATGGCGCATGGCGAGGCGAAGTCGCTTGGGGTATAAACGCTCTCAAGGCCTGACCTCAGCTGCTTTTATTCACGGGCTCCTGCAGCGGTTAGAAACCCTAAGCAGGAGGCCTTGTCCCTTCTCTCCAGGTGGCAGGGGCTGACCCTAGGCCTCAGGGGACACTCAGTGCTGGGACGCGGCCATGCAGACCTGCCCTGCCAGGACAGACTGCAATGCGGTGTTGAAGTGCGGCTGGCTGCCTGCTGCCTGTACCTCCCCCAGCCCTTGGCCACCTCCAGCCCTTGGTGGGGAGGCAGCCCAAGCGTTCCTGGCCCCGCAGCAGAAGCCCTGATCCTCGAGCAAGAGCAGCCCAGCTCCCTGCCACACACGTCCTGCTGTCCAACCTGGCAGAAGCCCCCTCGTGCTCCGGGAGCCCTCTGAGGCCAGCAGGTGCCTCATGGGGCACAGCTGCCAGCTGCCCTGGGAGAGGCGAGGTGCTGACTGCTCCTCCCACAGCGCTGATGGCCACTTGCCGCCTCTGCCATCTCCCTCAGTTACTGACCAGCCTCTCGGGGACCTGTTCATGGGCGCGGTGACAGGGTGGCCCAGGCTGGAAAAAGGAACAGCCACCAGCACTTCCTGAGATCCAAGACCTAATATAGTCACAGAGAAAACAGTAGAGGGCCAGTCCATGGGCCTGTGGCTCTGAAGGTGCGCCTGCCTGTAACCAGCTCAGCGGCCACGCTTCAGACGGCTTACTGACCCTGGAAAAGAACCCCACGGGCCAGGCTGCTGAGCGTCCCTTAGTCTACAGATTGAGGCAGGATGAATTGGAATGGAAATGAGCAGGGACCAGCAGGTGGCCAAGGGCAAATTTGCAAGCTCCTTTATCCCCTCTCAGTGTGCTAATAGAAAAGGGCCGACGGAGGCATCCACGGGTCATGGAAACCAAGCGCCTAAGCCTTTGAGTGGGTGCGTGGGGTAAGATCCGCTACAGCTTGTCACTGGGTCCCCGCTTGGCTAGTCCGCAGCCGCCCGGTGGCCCTGGCGCCCAGCCTGCAGCCACTGCCAGCACGGTACTCACCACCGCCCGACCACCGCCCGGCCTCCTGTCCGAGAACACGGGCGGACGCCGGAAGGGAGCATTTTTTGTTGCTGGAGCCGAACCGGCCCTCCACTGATCTTCAGGGATGTAGAGGGGGCTGGAAGAGGGGCTCCCATCTCCTCTCCGGCCTTCCAGGCAGAGTGAGCGCCAGGCGGGGTCCCTGCCGCTGGGTCCAGGAGTCTTAGGGGGATTTAAGGGGAAAATTCGCACAACTCGAGGCCCGACAATTCGATCCACTTCTCCAGCACGAAAATGGAGAGAACCACGCAGACTTGGAAGCCACTGAGAAGCTCCGACCCGCCAGTTCTCCAGCGGGATCAGGGCAGCGCCCCGGGGTGTCCTCCGAACGCTGTGCGCCGAAGGCTGCCGGCCAAGGGGACACGCTCTGTCCCCACGCACCGCCCCCCGCCGTAGCTCCGCAGGGTCAGCCTCCCATCTCCGCCGTGGTCTTCTTTCGGGGGTCCAGACGCTGGTCCCTCGCCGCCCGCGTCCCGGGGTGGTCCGGAAGAATGCCGAGGGGCCAGCCCCCGCCACGCGCCCCCAGCCCCGCGCTCCGGCTCCATCCACTGTCCCGCGCGCCTCACCCTCGCCCTGGCCTCACACTGTTAGGAGCGCTGCGGCTGGAGGCGGTGTCGGCCGTTTCTCCCCGGCCGGGTGGAGCGGCGGTCTCGGGGGAAGGGGTCGCACGAACGGGAGGGCGCACATGGGCGTCGCCATCACGGCTTCGGGTTATAGTGTTTGCACAGCGCTGATGGAGCCCCGGGACAGACGGCACACTTGTCCGGGCAGGGGCCCAACGCGGCGCCCGCCGCCAAAGGGTACACGGCGGCCGGGCCGAAGGGCGCCAAGGGCGCAGCGGCCACGGGCGCGGCCAGGCCCTGGCCCTGGTTGAGGTAGGCCACCAGGCGCCGCATCTCGTCCAGGGCCTGCGCCTGCATGAGGATGTAGTTCTTGGCCAGGAGCAAAGTGGCGATCTTGGAGAGCTTGCGCACCGACGGGCTGTGCGCATAGGGGATGACGGCCCGCAGCCCGTCCAGCGCGTCGTTCAGGTCGTGCATGCGCCGCCGCTCGCGGGCGTTGATGCTGAGCCGCAGAGAGCGCGGCTCCCGGGGCGTCCGCCGCGCGTCCGCCGCGTCCCGGGGCCGCCGCCGCCGCCGCCGCTCCAACGGGTCCTCGTCGTCGCCGCTCTGCTCGCCGCTGCTCTCGGCCGCGCCTGCTGGGGCGAGCGCCGCCGGGAGGTGGTCGCCCGGTCCCGGCGCGCAGCAGCCGCGCCCCGCCTCAGGGCCCCGGGCCGCCCCGTAGGCGAGGCCCGCTGCGTAGCCGTGGCTCAGCGCCAGGTACGCGTCCCCCGACAGCGACTGGAGCTCGGCCATGGCTCGCTCAGGCCGCGGCCGCCCCCGCGCAGCCTGGCCCGGCCGGTGCGTCCCGCGCGCTGCCGGCCGCCGGTGCGTCCTCCCCGCCCCGCCGCGGCGCGCTGGGCCCGGCCGGGGGCGGGCTCTCACTCCCACCCGCCCCCGCTCGGCGTGTCGGCGCGGAGGCGCTCCCGGGACTTCGCGGCCGCCCAATCAGAGGGGACCCGGTGACCGCCTCTTCCCAGCCGGCTGCTGTACCGGCGTGCGCGGCGAGCGGCCCCGGCGGCGGCCGACGGCCTCGGGGCGCCTCCCCTGCCCGTCCACGCTCCGGTTCCACGTGGGCACTTGCGTCCCTTTTTGTCCCGCGACTGCCCGCTGGTCCCGGTGGCCTGGAGCGGGGAGCAGGCAGCACGCGCGGGGCGCGCCGGCCTGGGAAGGCTCGCGCGGGGGGGGGGGGTCTTGAACGCGTGGCCAGGAGTGGACACTCCACAGCGACCCCAAGAGACCTCGTTCTGGGGTGCAGAGCTGGAGGCAGGGTCGGGGCCTGAAGATGAAGCCCTTCGGGTCAGTTGTTTTATTCGGGGGGCCGCTCAGGCCTGCGTGGGGTGGAGCAGGGGGCCTGCAGGGTAGGGGGCGTCGCTCCGGAGCTGAGGTCCTCTGTCCCTGCGCCCTCTCGCTGCAGGGGCGCCGCTCAGCGCGGGAGGGTCCGCTGGAGTCCGCAGGTGTGGGCAGGCTTAGGAGCCGAACGGGGTTCCATGGCCCCCCACCAGCACCGTGGGACGCAGCGTCCCTGAGTGCGCCCTGAGGAAGCGAGGCCGGAACTTGGGCCCACATGCCCGACAGGTGGGGTGCATTGTCTCCAGCCGCGAGGCCTGCTGAGGGAGGTGCCCGGGCGGGGTGTCTCATGGCAGGGAAGGTGGGTACCCGGCTTGGAGCGGGTGGTGAGCTGTGGGCTCTTGAGGGTCCTGGGAAGCCGCAGCAGCCCAGGCCTGGAGAGAAATGGGCCAGGCTGGTGGGCAGGGCCTGCCGGGGAGCACCCTGGACCTGGAACCGGCTGATGTGGGCGGTGCTGGCTGGCGGGCACGTGTCTGGGAGGGCATCCCAGGACCAGCGGTGGCAGGAGTAGGTGGTACTTTCGGGTCCCTTGCAGCAGACATGAGGGTTTGGGGAAGCCTGGCCTGCGGCTGAGACCACAGGCTGTCACCCCAAGGGAGGTCAGGGGCCAGGGGTGCCTCCCAGCTTTCCCACCAGCCGGACGTCAGGTCTCATTAGCAGGCACCTGCCTTAGAAGGGCTGGGACAGGGCGACAGTGGACCGGATGGTCTTGGGGACACCTGCAAGTCCCCAGGTGCGGGGACAGGAGGCATTTCTGGTCGTCTGCTGCCACCTGCTGTATGCCTGGGAGGTTGCAGCCCGCATGGATTGCGGAGGGCTTGCAGCCAGGCCTCCTCACAGCTGGCCGCGTGCTGCCAGCACTGGCCCGGGGTACGCTGTCCAGTCGAGGTGGTGGTGCTGGGGTGTTCAGAGTTGGCCTTGCCATGACAACCGGGGCTCCTGGAAGAGCCCACTCCCCTGGACGGGCTGCCTCAGCACTGCACCAGAGTCACTCCACACCCTGGCTAGCTCCCTCCTAAGGGCAAAGGTCAAGCGGGGGCTGGCAGGGAGGAGGTTGGGGGGACCCAATCCCCCCGCTGTTCTGTGGGTGTCTGGGTTGGAGGTGTGGCCCTGCCCTGTGGGCTCCTGGACTGGCAGGGAGGAGCAGGCCTCCTGGGGTGGAAATGTGCCCCTCCTTTCCAACTGTGCATTTTAGGGGCCAAGTGTGGGGCTGGGCAGGGGCAGAAGCTGCCCTGAGGCTCAGCATAGGCAGGTTCAGTTTGTTGGGGTGATGCCACCATCGCCTGTGCCCATGGCACGAGCATAGCTCACCACTGCCACCTGGGCTCAGGCAGCCAGTTTGTTCCCACCTTTCTGCTCTCCTCGCTGCAGTGCAGGGGCAGGGGTCACTTCCTGCCATGCCCGCCTCTCTGCTCCTCTGCTGTGTCTCCCAGCCCTGGCATGTAAGATGGGCTCTCCCCGAGCCCTGCCATCGTCCCTGGGCATCACCTTAAAGGATGTGGCCCAGCGGTAAAGGCGCTTGTGTCGCCACCATTGCCACATGGACACCATTTCCAGTCCCGGCTGCCTCGTGCTTGGCCCAGCTGCGAATGTACCCGGGAGGGCAGAGGGGGCGGCCCGGGCACTTTGGCCCCTGCACCCATGGGGGCGACAGAGCTCCTGGCTCCTGGCTGTGGCCTGGCCCAGCCCTGGCCCTGTAGCCATTTGCAGAGGGAACCAGTGGGTGGAAGTTCCCCTCTGCCTCTGTGACTCTGCCTGGAGGGGAAGCAGAGGGGCCCAGGTGAGTTGGATCGGAGCCTGGTGGCAAGGGAAGGCATCCTTTGCACAAGCTGATTATGCCTGATCAGTGTGTCTAATGAGCATGGCTCTCTCTCATTGTGACCTGGGTCATTAGCCTTATCTGCATATGCAAACGAGGCCCTCCTCCTTTAGGTTCCCCCAGAAGCAGGATCAGTGAACTCAGCGGGTCAGGAAGTGGCCAGGACCCCACCTCCCCTGACACTCCCCTACAAGGTGGGGGCTGCTGGCCCCCTGGCCGCCTGAGCCTGGGCTTGGTCCTCAGCAGGCTGGCTTCCAGCAGCCCTGATCAGCTGCCCGCCTCCCCAGCAGGTGCCCTGCAGCAGCAGCCGTAGGACAAGGTCCTATTGCCTCAAGCAGCCACTCCCGCCCTGCTTTGGGGCCAGGAGGAACCCCAGGTGACTGCCCAGGGCTGGTCAGGACTGCTGCTGGCTCCCAGGTAGAGCCCCTGAGCTGGACAGCAGGAGCTAGCCCCTCCTTCCTCCTGGGGGGACAGGGAGGGTAGGACTCAGCTCCGTTGGGGCAGTCCCTGCTTGCTGCGGGACCCCCAGCCCGTTGCCCTGGCAACCGACTTCTCCCTCCCTGTGGAGGTGGGCACTGTCTGCCTGTCTTTCCTGGCAGCCGGCCCCACATGTCATCTCCCTGACCCCTGAAGGTGGAGCAAGACAGCATTGCCGGCCCCTGGCCCACCTGCCACTCCATGTCCTTGGATAAGCTGACAGCAAGCAGGTGCTCACTCAGTCTGCAGTGGCCAAGGGCGGGGTCGCCGGCCTTTCACGGGGAGGAATCTCAGAAACGCTTCCTGCAGCAGACCAGCAGTTCTGGGGCAGGCTGGGCTCCAACTGCAGCCGGGCCTGGTGCTGCCCCAGGAGAGGCTTCTCTGGGGTGCCCGGCTCTGCGGGGAGGGCAGCAGGAAGGGAGAGAGGAGAACACACGCGTGTTCTCACACCCGCACCCAGGGTGAGCATCTGTGCGCACATGCGTGTTCACACACCCGTACCCAGGGTGAGCATCTGTGCGCACATGCGTGTTCACACACCCGTACCCAGGGTGAGCATCTGTACGCACATGTGTGTTCTCACACCCGTACCCAGGGTGAGCATCTGTACGTGCACGCATTTCTCACACTCTGTACGTGCACACGTGTTCTCACACCCGTACCCAGGGTGAGCATCTGTACGCACATGTGTGTTCTCAGACCTGTACCCAGGGTGAGCATCTGTACGTGCACGCGTGTTCTCACACCCGTACCCAGGGTGAGCATCTGTACGCACATGCGTGTTCTCACACCCGTACCCAGGGTGAGCATCTGTACGCACATGCGTGTTCTCACACCCGTACCCAGGGTGAGCATCTGTACACGCATGCGTGTTCTCACACCCGCACCCAGGGTGAGCATCTGTGCGCACATGCGTGTTCTCACACCCGTACCCAGGGTGAGCATCTGTACGCGCATGCGTATTCTCAGACCCGTACCCAGGGTGAGCATCTGTGTGCACATGCGTGTTCTCACACCCGCACCCAGGGTGAGCATCTGTGCGTGCACGCGTGTTCTCACACTCTGTACGTGCACGCATTTCTTTTTTTTTTTTTAATTTTTTTTTTTAAGATTTATTTTTATTATTTTTTCATTGGAAAGGCGGATATACAGAGAGGAGAGACAGAGAGGAAGATCTTCCGTCCGATGATTCACTCCCCAAGTGAGCGCAACGGGCCGATACTATGCCGATCCGAAGCCAGGAGCCTCTTCCGGGTCTCCCACGCGGGTGCAGGTTCCCAAAGCTTTGGGTGGTCCTCCACTGCTTTCCCAGGCCACAGGCAGGGAGCTGGAAGGGAAGCGGGGCTGCCGGGATTAGAACCGGCGCCCATATGGGATCCCGGGCGTGCAAGGTGAGGACCTTTAACCACTTGTGCCACCGCGCCGGGCCCCGTGCACGCATTTCTCACACTCTGTACGTGCACACGTGTTCTCCCACCCGTACCCAGGGTGTGTCTGAGCACACACGTGTTCACACACCCACATCCAGTACGTATGGTTCTGTGAGTGGCCCTACCGCTGGGTACCTTTGTGGAGCTCCTGGTTTTCTCAAGCTCCAATCAGAGGTCCTGGCTGGGCTTGCTGTGTTGTGTCTCCCAGGAGGTGGCGCTGACAGCCCTGCATGGAGGGCCCTCCCAGGACACATGGGCTGTGAACCAGAGTGGACCCTTGTCCTAGGGCCTCACCTTTGCTTTCTCCCAGCTCAGCTTGCCCTGACCTGTCTTCTGGACCCTTGGTGGAGCTTGAGCCTGCCTAACCCACATCGTGGCCCCTCCCTCCCCTCCGCCACTGTGCACCAGCCCCCGAAGGAGTCATTGGACGGGGTTGGCCTAGCTGGGCCCTGGACATCACCTGGAGCGACACTTGATCCCTACCACACACCTGCTGCCTGCTCCTGATGTGAGCTGCTGGGACACGGGGTCTGAAGCATGGGCGCCCTCCCTGGGCTGTATTTTAGCTCAGGAGCCTCCTGCAGGCTTTTTGGCCAGTAGCTGTGACCGCAGGCCTAAAGGGTCAGTGCTGACGCTGTCCGTGTGCTCAGCAGTCCAGTGTGCCCTGTCTTGCAGGATAG